GATACAGGAAAAATGTCTGCACATTTCAATTCCTCCACGGACTACTACTGTTAATTTTTTAGCATATATTTTTGCTGAGCTTTTCACACACACACTTCTTCTTTCTAAAAATGAGATATTTTTAGATGCTGTGCATGTAAAGTGTACTTTCTATATTTTATATAATGAGCCATACACGGCTCTGCAATTGCTTTTTTTTTCACTTAACGCTTTACTGAAGGCATCCCTTCATGTCAACTTCTATGAAACCCATATGAAACTGATTTGTGAACCTCATAGTATTTTGATTTTGGATGTAGAATCATGTGTATTTAATGAATTCCCATTGGAAGGATTTTTAGGTTGAGGAGAGTACAATGTGATATAGTCAGGTTATAGGTAAAAAGAAATGCCTACTCCCTCTTCGAGTCTGCTCACCCACCTCAACTTTATTTGGGGATTGTTTATCCACTTCTCAGAAACATCCAGAACTCCTCAAATTTTCCTATAGTTTTTTTTTTCCTACTGGATTAAGGCACGAGAGCCTTACACTTGGCCAGAAATCACAAAGTCAACTCAAAACTGTAAGTCTAGAAATGCAAACGCACCCAGATGTCTGATCATAGGACTGGAGACCTGCACGTTCGCACAAGACTAAGTTATCACTCTCACAAGCAGAAGTCTCTGATTTCTATAGAAACCGGCCCACATCCTGCCAACTTCCTGCAGCTTGTCAGCACCCGACCATGCCCCGCTCTTGCCATTCCCTGCGGCCCATCCTTCCTTCAGTGTGTATCCCCAGAGCCCAGAACAGGCACAAATGGAATGAATGCCTCGCAAGGACAAGTACAGCAGGGTGAGTCAACCTGAGCGAAGAGCTTCTGGCAAAGCTGGTGACTCAGAGGGTGAGGCGGGCCTCTGGAGAGCTTAGCCCCAGGCTACACACATCAAAGGAGAGAAGCCCTCAGAGGCCTCACGCAGACCCCCAGCTCCCAGGCAAATTCCATTCTTTTTGCAGTAGGTTGCTGGGAACCGGGGAGAAGCCAATTAGAACCCAGTTTTAATTACTTTTCAGTAATAATGAGCCTTACACAAAGAGCTTTTATAAACCCTGCCTTCCCTTCCTAGATTCTCACCCAATTTTGTCAACCCAGGATTCTCAGCCACATTTGGTAAATGAAGAAACCGAATCCCAGAGGTCAGGGTTTATGAGGGTCGGGGCGGGGCTTGAACCCAGGTGGGCCTCACACCTTGTTCAGACTTCATTCTGCCTCGACAGTGACAGTGACGACAGACAGCCGAGCAAGGACTGCATTTCCTGGGACTTGGTGACCAATCCCGCCGGCCCCCCCCCCCCCGCCCGACAGACAGGACTCTCCAGGAGGCAGGGCCCTTGGGAGCTGATGGAGTTTCCCTAACAGACTCATGCCCTCCCCAATGCACCTCTTTTAAAATAAACCCCCAGTGACTTGTTATCGTGGTGCCCCCAGCAATCCCACTGCACTGATGAGGGCGACTCCAGTGTCAAATGTCGGGGTATGGGGAGCAGATGCAGCTGGCAGCCCACCTGTGCCCTGATCCTTCTCTGGGACAAGGTAGTCTCAGCCACCCAAACTGCGACCATGTGGCTGTCTGGGGTGTGAAGTGTACCTGTGGCCTCATGAGTCTTGAGCAACCCCTTGGAGTTGGCTGTACATGACTGAACCTGTAGCTTCGAACTAGCTATGCTCAGCTGGCGAAGCAAATGAACCCACTCTTCTAGATCACATTCTGACGTGAGAACAGAAAAGCCGGCAAATGCACGATGGGCTAATAAGCTTTGTAGCTGTGAGCCGTACTTTAATGAGAGGACATGTCCCTTCAAAATGGTGCCTTGGCTAATTGGGCAAGACTCTTCATGTTTAGGGACACAGTTCTATAAATAAAAGCTTCTCGTTCATGCATAATGGCCTGTCCGCTCTCTGGCTTCCGGCATGCCACTTCCTTCCTAACCCCTCTGCTCAAAAGTAGCCCAACATCAATCAGCCCACCCACTGGCCCGTGAAGGGAGCTGGGCCGAGGGCTCCCAACAAAAGCCTCACAGAAAGACGTCAGACCCCATCACTGTCGCAGGGGCACTCAGGTGAAATAACAAGCCCCGCTGGCCTCTTCCCCTTTCACATCTGAAGGTAAAAACAGACCAATACTTGCACATGCTGTGCTGGATTTCCTAGACGGCACATAGTATTACTGTCCGTAACTTTCCAGGGGCCTCCTCGGGTTACCATACATATTAATACACACACCAGCATTCGAAGAAAGGAAAAGAGGGGGTGCTTGATTATTTTTAATTGAATTCATCTGGGAATTTTAAATCCTGAAATTTCAGCCCCGGGTTACGGTATTTTAAGGTTTGAACCGCGTAGGATTTTATCCTTTTGAACAGCAAATATCTCTTTTCCATTTCAGAGAAAGTTTCTTCAGCGCCTAATGCATCTCAGAGCCAACTGTAAAACTCATTATGTTCAGAAACTACAGAATGGGACAAGGATGACAATGTTTGTCCATACGCATCCCTTTGAAGGCAATCTAGTCTTTACAGCTTCCTACTCGCTTCAAAGGAGCCCTGTGTCTCTGTAAAGATGATGCTCAAGCCCCAGCCCTATTGTGTTGGGACAATGGTGAACCAGGAACCAAAGAGGGGCTGAATGGAAGACTTCTGTGGGCACTTGAAACTAGACCTCGCTTCTCTGACTCTTCTTGGCCAGCCATGATGACAACGAGAGAAGCTGTTGTAAGGTGCACATGCCACCATTTCTGCCACACGATATCCCTTCCCCAGGTGGCTTGAAAAGTCTCCAGTCTAGTCTCTCAAGACCCATGGGATTTGCCAGACACTGGCCAGTCAAGCACCACATGCTCCACATCTCCCTTCTAGCCACGCAAATTGGAATTTATTCCCACAGAGAAACTCAATGAGTTAATATCCCAAGGGCCTAAAGAGAATTCAAGAAAAACTGGATTTCTGTGATCTATCTCTTCCCATCACCCTCCTGCACTCCCAAGACCGTCAGGTATGGGAGTTTGGATTACACACTGCACAAAGGCACCGCGTGTCCTCCATCACAGGATGGACCTAAGACACCGTGTGTGTAGGTGTAGAGGTTCTGGGCCTTTCCAGCTGGGGCTGAAGCATGAACACACATGGGCACACAAGACCATGCACAGTGGGAAAAGCTAGTAAGCAAACTCCCAGGCGGCAGCACGGACAGGTGTCAGCGGCTCCCTGACCCGAGCAAGATCTTGCCTCTCCCCTGCCTACCTGTCCCGGAGCCTCAGTCCCCTACTACAGGGCTCAAAACTTGACACAATTGCCTCACCTGGGGGCCAAAAGAAGCTAGGCATGGGTGTGGGTGTTGGAGGCCGTCTGTGCACCTGGGCCTGGGGCAGGTGTGCTATTCATCATAGTCAGGCTTGCTGCCCTCTGGGCTCTGAGAAGCTCCCCAGAGCAAAGATGTACCCCTGTGTAATAATATGCATTTGTTCGTTTTTTTCACTTGACAACAAAGACTTTTTTTTGTTGTTGTTGAAAAGTCTTTTTCAACAAAGACTTTTATGAACCCTAATTCATAGCCCTGAGAGTTGTTTCCCCTGCTCTTTCTATTCCATGGCTCGAGGCTTTCCTTGCCCCATGGGGCCCAGAGACCTAAATCTGGAATACTCTGAAGCTTTTCCCTCTTGGTAGCACACCATATCCTATGGGTGTTTGTTTTGTTCTGTTTTTCCTTCCCTCTTCCCTCCTACCTTTGAAAGCTAGCCTATCTTTCCTCCTGACCTTAGTCGATCCTGCCCTCACTTCAAAGGCTTCTGTGACCGGGATGACCCAGCACGTGACAAGCTCATGCTTCCAGCCCCCCCTGCTAGAGCTCTTTCCATTTCACCACAGACCTTGCCCCCAGAGCCTTGGATGGTGGGTCACCTATCATCACACAAGACCAACCAAACTCTTCCCTCAACCCCCAGCCTGAAGTAAATGTCCGAGCTCTGTGCCAGAAACAATCAAAAAGAACCCACCAACTACCCACCACATCACAACCTCCTCCCGAGCTATGACCGGCACCCTGCTTCTCTTTCTGTGATGATGCCCAAAGGGGTGAGGAAAAAAATCCTTGACCCCCTCTGCAGGCCAGGAACGAATTCTGCAGCTCGGAGGGTAAGAACTTGCAGCTGAAGTTTGTGTCAGACACCTGGACACAGAAAGACCAGGTCTTGGGGTCCCCATAGAGGACGCACATTTTCACTGCTGGCCACGTCACTCAGCAGTCACCTTGTCCACGCCTCACCAGCCGTGTGCATCTGAAGCCAGCCACCTCTTTGAGAAGGTCAAGTGCAGCTGAGTCCCTGAGGCCTGGGAGTCTGGAGACCAGTGACTTCCTCTGGGTCATCTCCTGACCTGTGCCCAGGCTTTCCTTCTGTGAAATGATGCCCCTTTCCAGCATTAGGACTCTGTAATCTTATAAAACAGTCCCGCCACCGGACAAAGCAACAGGTAACTGTGTCGTAGGAACACCACAAGGGGACCAGAGCGTGAAGCCTGGAGCGGGATGGCACCCCCTTTCCCTTAGGCCACCAGGTTCCACCAACTAAGGTTCTCTTGCTCTCACGCTGCTTGACCAGGGCTGGGATTATACAAGGCCTGGCCACACCAGAGGCTCTGGGGAGTCCAGGCTGGCCGAACCACATCTTGCTGCCAGGGCCCCCGGTCATTGTACCTGCTACCTCCTTGCTCCCTTTTGGGGCTGAGAGGGAGCCACGCCCATGACAACTGAACTTCGTTTCCCTATTGTTTCTGAGGCAGAGAGCATTCCGCTCCGGCCTGCTACCAGACCACATCATTCTGGTCGGAGATGTAGGACCTGGGGAATCTCTGTAGAAAGGAGGCAGGAGAGGTAATTGAGAGTCAGCTCCCTCCGCCCCCGGCCTGAAGTCTGGGTCACCCTTTGCAAGCTAAGAGGGGGAGCCCAGGAGAGATGACAACTCACGTGGCTCTTTTTGCCTTCTTCATCTCCCACAGATGTGATGACCGTCTCTGAGAAGACCGTTCGTCCAGTCTGGTTGTTGGTGACCTACGGCAGACCAACCACAGTGAATGTGAAACAGAAGGAATTCTGGGCAAATCCCACATGTTTTCTTGGTTCCATTCTCTGAAGCAGGAGCATCTGCCAAAGTGGACAGGATGCCCACTCCCCTTTGCTTTCTGAGTTCCAGCAGCAGCCGTCAGGTGGGCAACCCCCTCTCTGTGCAGCAGTCAGAAGCCTAACGGAGTCTACCTCCCAGGATTGCTCTGCAGGGAGATGAGCAGGCTAGGGCAAGGCGCTCAGCACAGAGCCGGACCTGCAGCAAATACTCAGCAGTAGCTGTTTTTTTTTTTTTAAGGTTTTATTTATTTAGACATGAGAGACACACAGAGAGAAGCAGAGATATAGACAGAGGGAAAAGAAGGCTCCTCTCAGGGAGCCTGATGTGGGACTCGATCCCCGGACCCGGGATCACGCCCTGAGCCGACGGCAGATGCTCAACTGCTGAGCCACCCAGGCGTCCCCCAGCAGTAGTTGTTTTTACTGTGCTTGAGGCTCATCACTTGAAACTCAATGTCAACATCCTGATTTTCAACGATGACAGGTCTGGGTGTCTCATCCAACATATTTCATGAGAAGCAAGCAGGTTTTAGCTACAGCTGCCCCCCTCCCGGTTCTGGTGAAATATTTCACCAAGAAAGTGCTTATGTACAATGGGAGGCTCCCCTATCTGCTGTCTGGATCGGACTCTGCTCAGCAGCAGCAGGTACCTCAGAGTGGAGCCTCTTCATCCTGACGTGCCCCCCGGGCTGCTCCTGCCCTGACAGAGGTCCCGTCTAAGGAATGCTTGTGCTGGGCACGAAGAACAGAAGAGACGCTGGCCCAGCAGGTAGGAGATCTGTGTTCTTTGAGCCTTGGCTCAGCTACCAACAACCACCTAGTGTGTAACCTGGAATAAGTCACTTCTCTGATTCATGATGTCCTCATTTCTAGGACATCTGTAGAGCTCCCGCCAGCAATAACATTAAAAGGAAGCTGTGTCCAGAACAGAGTGGGAACTCAGCCATTTTGTCATAATGGACCAAATCCCAGTTCTGCAGAGATAAGGATCACGTCTTCATAAACAAACTTTAATACTTTTAAGTAAGTAAATCCTCTCCCCAGCGAAGAGGCAGTGTCTTCTTCCCTCAGCCAGATTTTTGCTGAATTACCTGATGGTATATGTGTTTTTTAAACTGTACAGTCCTATAGTGCAGGTATGGGTTGCAGGACTTCTAAGAGCCTTCATTATATTCAAGTGCTTTTTTCTAAGAGAAGAAATAAGTAAGATGTTTCCAGAATATGCTTAACCACAACCTAGCCTCTCTTTAATGAAGCACTGCACAGGACAGGCGCTCCCTGGAACCTACTGGAGAGCTGCTGCACAGTGCCAATAACGTAACTTTATGGCAAGAAACGAGTATAAGAACAACTTGCTGCTGCAAGCACTTTGTAGTTTATAATGAGCTCTTATGTACTTTAGATTATTTGACTCTCATGCCACTGTCATGTACGTATTGATGTCCCTATTTCATATATATGGATAGTGAGGGATGTACATTTAAATAATTTTTCAAGATCACACTAGTTACTGGGAGGACTCATGCTTGCGTATTCCAACATCTACAAGAAGCAACCTTAAGAAGAGCCAAACCTATTAGCTAATTATTGTCAAAGAGAACGACTTAATATTGGTTTCGACAGAAATAAAAGTGACCTTTGGAAACATTCTCCAGCCCTCAGATGAGCGATGCTAAAGGATTCTGTTCAGGGGGCCCTGGGTGGCGCAGCGGTTTGGCGCCTGCCTTTGGCCCAGGGCGCGATCCTGGAGACCCGGAATTGAGTCCCACATCGGGCTCCCGGTGCATGGAGCCTGCTTCTCCCTCTGCCTGTGTCTCTGCCTCTCTCTCTCTCTCTCTCTGTGTGACTATCATAAATAAATTAAAAAAAAAATAAAGGATTCTGTTCAGCAGGTGACTCATTCATTTATCTGGGGGTGGGGTAGTGATGGGGGTACATCCTGAAGCTGGGCGCATCAGTCTGCAGTGGGAGAAAAGCCACACAAAGGCTACATACAGTCAAGGCGATGGCCCATAAAAATTGACCTGTTTATGCTCCATGACACAGAAACACTATTGTTCCAACGAAGTCATGACCTGGGCATTTGAACAAAAAGTGAGACTCTCGTGAGAGCCATTGGGCCTTGCACATATGAGCTGGGATGAGATCCGAGGTCAAGCTCCTTGATGTGCACAACAGTACATCAACTCAACAGCCTCTACCAATGACCCTCACTATGTGCACACCAGACTCTCTTCAAGAGAAACCAGGCTCACAAGGTTTGTCCTCCCAGTCCTGCCTAAGTTATGCAAGACACATCTCACGCCAGGGCAGGTTAATGCCAAGTGCCTCTGCATTTGTGACGTTTTCTTCCTCAAGTCAGGTGGGCAATGGACCTGCTTGCCCATCATGCCAGATATCAAACCAAGAGACAATTAGACATGTGGCAGGCTGGAAAAAACTCTGCTACAGAAGTCTGAATGGATAACCAGCAAACGAACGTTCAGTCTTATGACAACAGAGGCTTTCCCTTCCAAAGATGTAGAGTTTATCACAATTGAGTTCCTCCAAAGGAAGCAGGGGAGATCTATTCACCACCATGGGCTCTATTTCCATTCTCTACTAAAACTCACATTAAAACCTATGAGATCAATTCCTTGAATTCAATACTAGAGAAGTATTATCTCTAGACACTTGTTTGCACCTTTTAATCAAATGATAACCCCCACCCCGCCCCACGGCCATTCCTTTGCAACCGGGCTGGCAGGCAGCCTAGAGTTAAATTTATTACTTAAATACAAAAGCAATTTTGGTTTGATACACAATGCTCCCTCTTAAATAGCTCCCTCGTTCCCTCTGGTTGTTGTTGTTGTTTTTTAAAGATTTATTTATTTATTTATCCATTCATTCATTCATTCATTCATTCATGAGAGACAGAGAGGGAGGCAGAGACACAGGCAGAGGGAGAAGCAGGCTCCATGCAGGGAGCCTGATGCGGGACTCGATCCCGGGACTCCAGGATCATGCCCTGGGCCGAAGGCAGGTGCTAAACTTCTGAGCCATTCAGGGATCCCCTTCCCTCTATGTATTTTATCAAACTCACTTGTATTTTTGGCTTGTAGCCTTCGTTCTCTGATGGGACAGGGTGCTATAGAGGGGAGGATATGCTGGCCGTGACCCCCTTACCTTGTGAATCTCTCGGTGCACATGGATGGTATTATTTCCAACCCTGGTTTCCGTGTTGGTCTCATTGTGATAGCTGGAAGGTAAGTTTGCCAGGTTCACTTCTGATGTTTTAGCAGCGGCTTCTTCGGCTTCCATCTATTAAATCAATGAACTTAATGAGCAAACCGGTTTTCTCTGGATATAAATCAGACCATTAGAAAAAAGAACCACTTCTCTTTTCCTCTTCCGCAATTACAAATAATGGTAGTGGTAAGAGGCACCGCTAACTGCATGTCCACGAGGATAAGATATTGTACTAAATGTTTTACATGTATCATAGACTTAAATCTCATAGCCTCCCTAGGAGGTGGGCGTGAATGTACCCATTTTATAAATAAGGAGGGGAAGGCTCAGGGAGACTGGATAATTTCCCAAAACTATTGGTGAAAGACATCACTCATCATCAGGGAAATGCAAGTCAAAACCACAACGAGGTATCAACTCGCTCCTGTCAGAATGGCTAAAATCAAAAACACAAGAAACAAGTGCTGGTGAGGATGTGGGGGAAAGGAACCCTCCTGCACTGTTGGTGGGAATGCAAACTGGTGCAGCCACTGTGGGAAACGGTATGGAGGTTCCTCAAAAATTAAAAATAGAACTACCATACGATCCAGTAATCACACGAACTGGGTATTCACCCAAAGAACACAAAAACACTAATTTGAAGACAGATGGACTGCTATGCTTACTGCAGCATTATTTACAATAGCCAAACTATGGAAGCAGCCCGAGTGCCCATCAATAGAAGAATGGATAAAGAAGATGTGGTGCATATATACAATAGAGTATTATTCGGCCGCAAAAAGAATGAAATCTTGCCATTTACAAAAACCTGGGTGGACCCAGAGGGTATAATGCTAAGGGAAATAAGTCAGACAGAGAAAGACAAATACCAGAGAATCTATCACTCATATGTGGAATTTAAGAAACAAAACAAATGAGCAAAGAAAAAAAGAGACAAGAAAACAGTCTCCTAATCCTAGAGAACAAACTGGTGGTCACCACGGGGGCGGGGGGCGGGGAGGATGAGGGAAACAGGTGAAGGGGAATAAGAGGACACCTATTATGATGAGCACTGAGTAATGCACAGAATTGTTGCATCACTGTACTGTATGCCTAAAACTAACATAACACTACGCTCACTGGAATTAAAAATTTTTTATTTTTTATTTTTATTTTTTTAAAGATTTTATTTATTTATTCATGGTAGAGAGAGAGAGAGAGAGAGAGAGAGAGAGAGAGAAGTAGGCTCCATGCAGGGAACCCAATGTGGGACTCGATCTCAGGTCTCCAGGATCACACCCTGGGGCTGAAGGTGGCGCTAAACCGCTGAGCCACCGGGGCTGCCCAAATTAAAAATTTTTAAATTCACTGTGGGATATCCACAAGACACATAAGAAAGAAAACAAAAGAGTGTCAGGGAAGGGCAAGGGCAGAGTTGGTATCTGAGCAAGCTTCCGTGGAACGGTCTCGGCCCTGTACACCTGCTGTTGGCAACCGGTCCATCTCCCCGTGACCTAACCTGGAAGTCACCTGCACACACCTGCATTCACCTGCCTCAAGGGCAGCTCTGCCTCTGAGAGCACTCTCTGGCTGCTCAGTGGGCTCAGCTGGCCCAGATGCTGGGGAGCTAACGCCCCAGGAACCATCCTCCATCAGTGAGGGATGGGCTGTGGGGCGAGTACCCCAGCTTCCTCTCCCCTCAAAGGGGCAGCCTCTCTCCGAGGACCCAGTGGGACTGAACCCCAGCAGCACCGGCCACTAACCTGCTCATCAGTGCAGCCTTTATTCCCTCTCTTCTCTCCCATCTTATTTCCCCACTTCCTCCCGGTGTTTCTGGGATCACTTACCAAATAAATTATTTGCTCCTAAACCTTTGTTGTGGCAGGATCTGGTGGTGGGGGTGGGGATGGTAAGACCCAAACAGCCTCCCAAGACAGCCCCCTACCTGATCCAGGTAGGGCCACAGATATGTCTCCTTCCCCACCCCACCTCTTGGGTACAGCGGGTCAGCTGACTTGTTCCCAGGACCCACCCTCCTTTTTTTTTTTTTTTCTTTAGGACCCACCCTCCTCCTGGCTCTTGTTTGGTGCCAGGTTCCTGAGGCTGCTACTCTCAAATCTTCCAGTGTCAGGAGCCTCCATGACATCTCTACCACATTTATCGATCAACCTGAATCTATACCCAATTTCCCCTCGTGCATTTACCACTGTGTCCCACCCCGAGGGGGCAGTGGACAGTGTGACCAGGTCACAGCTGACTGCACTCAAAGAGAGGCCACATCATGGGCTAGCTGAGCCAATCAGATACTCTCTCGAGGAATTTAAAACGAGACACAAAGAGAAGTTCTAGTTGCTGGCTGGCAGTTTTCCAAACTGGGCTATTTTTACTTCTTAAAACTAATCCTCAAAAAGATTCTATTTTAAAAAAAAATCACTATCTTCTATTCCCTTATGTACTAAATGAGAGACCTCTTTTCCTGTCTCTCCCAGCTAGATTTGCCGAGCTGGGCTGGATATGGGGACAGAACTGCCATGCCTCAGTGCAGCACAAAAACACTGAACCAGAAGTGGAGAGAGTCTGGTACTCCCAAAAGCTCAAATGATCAAACAAGAACTTGAGTCAGTTATTGCTGTGTTTGACCCTGAGAGGGTTGCTGAGATGTCTGAGACTCGATCACTGGCTTCACCATCATCACCATCATCATCATTACCATCACCACCATCATCACCACCACTATTCATCACGATCATCATCACCCCAACAACCGCCATGTTTGGGCATCAGCTATGCCTGCGCCATCACACCATTATCTTCCATGGCTCCTTGGATATTCAAGCACTCCCACAAGGACAGTGTTGGGGCCCTCATTCTGCAGATGAAGAGAACGAGCTGGAGAGAAGTGAAGGGACCTCTACGGTCATCGCGTTGTTAACAAGCGGCAAAGCTCAGATAGAACTCAGGTCAGTCTGACTCCAAATTCTGGGCCTTGTCCAGTATGTGCTTCTGTCCTGCCTGAGTAGCTCATGCGTCTACTGGAGAGAGAGCAGAGCCCCACAACTAACCCAGTTTGAGGGTGATTATGATGGTTTCTAGAAGCAAGCCAGGGGCTCAAAGAAAAGATAGGTCTCCAGGAGGAAGAGGCATGATTGAGCTGATTTCTAAGGATGAGTAGGATTTGACCAGAAAGGAGCACGGGGGAGGCCAAAGCTGTGGCAGCCTGGGCGAGAATGGGGTACGCCGTAGGCCAGGGCACAGCGTCCATGCTGGGTGTGAGAGAACATGGTGGATGATGAATTAGAGAGGGACTGGCGGGCAGATGCAGGAGCAGCTCTATAAAGCAGAGGGTGTTGACATGGTGAGGAGAGTGCATCGGAGTCACGTCTGAAACTCTAACATCAATATCATAGATCTATAACCAGGAGATTTGTGACTATATATTCACACACACACACACACACACACACACACACATCCCTTCTGAGACCTGCTGAATTAGAATTTCTGCAGGTGAAACCCCAGGTATCAAAGAGCTCAAATGAAGAGGCAGTCCCTCCCGCCACTTACCCAGGAGAAAATCTCTCTCCAGGCCATGGGAAGTTGTAACAAGTTCTAAAGACTGGTTGGTAGATAATATATGTTCTGGAGAAGACAAAGAGGGGAGTGAGGGAACTGGCCAGAGTGAGGGGCGGGAGTAGGAAGTTATACCTGGGGAGAGGCCTGCTAAGGCAGCAGAGGTCACAAATAAGTCTAGGTGGGTCAAGCTACTGCGAGTTAGCCACAAGGTGAGGCAAAAGTTGCCTGTGGCATGTCACAGGGCAGCATGTCACAGGACAGCACGGCAGGAAGTGCCAGGGTTCTGGAGTTAGGTAAGGCGGGGGCAATCCCAGCTCGGCCAAGAAGCAGCTATGTGACCTTGGGCAAGATACCAAATGTCTCTAAACCTTAGCTTTCTCGTTCGTGTAGTGGAGATGGCCCCACTTCGCTGAGTGGATGTAAGAATTATGGATCGCGAAATCCAGGTGCGTGTCACAGCACCTGCCCACCCAGCACAGATGCAGTAACACACAGCGACCTTCAGAATGCTGTCCTTGAAGAAAGCAGTTTTAGGAGAAGCTAGCGTGCTAGGGAATGTTCGGGTAGAGGTGGAAAGAGTAGACAGCAGATACTACACGTTTGAAGAATTCGCCAACAAAACGGAGCAGTGGAATGGAGCTAAGATAGGAGACAGGGTGAACACAAAAAGGACTTCAAAGAAAATATTTTTTAAGTGAGAGATCTTGGCATGTTTAGTGATAGAAAAGATGCAGCTGGAAAAGAGCAGGAGAAAAAGAGGCCGTCCAGAAGCAGAAGGGGATGTTTTCGCATTTTTAAAATTCCCACTGGAACCTGAATCTGAAGTTTGGCTTTCAAATAATTGACGAGTTACCAAATCTAGAGTTTGCTTTGGGGTGAGCAGATAGTCTTTTTTTTATAAAGGCTTCTCCCTCTCAACCAGTGGTTATTTCGATAGAATGAGCTAATAGTCCTCCAATGGCACCACAAACTCAAAGTACAGTTTACAATGGAAATTTCAACCACAACTATTACTGCCACTAGCAAGAGAAACTGAAGCCTAAGGCAAAAGGAGTTGTTTCATAGAGGAGGAATGCGCATGTTATAAAAAATGGCATTTATAGTTGGTTGACTCCGTGTGTCTGTTAAAGGAGTACAATAGGAAAAATCGGAGAGATAAATCAATTGGTATTGGGGTTCTTCCTAGGAATAGGTGAAGTGATTAAGAACATTCTAGAATACGTCAATTATAGACATCACAATTCCCTTCCCTTCCCCCTGCTCATTGGGGAGGGGTAGAAAGTGGTTGTTATCCTCAAAACACATTCATCAGCAACACAGAATATTAAGACAGGAAAATGGGAACACCCTCGATTGAACCATTTGAACATTTGTCTCTCCCAATAATGATCCTACAAGCAGAGTTAGTTTCATCTTTCCCCTAGGAGCAATCAACAGCTTGAGTCAGCTGGAATATTTAAAATGTCAGGAAGTTACTTGAAAGCAGATTCATGATGCAGCTACGTAAATAACTAATTCATCTGACCTGGTCCTTTCCCCAGACAACAAATAAATAGCTACTATCCTGTGTTTATGAGACATAAGGGGCGTCCTGACAGTCTCTTTTTAAAAAATTAATATCAATAGCCACAATCTCTTGAGAGTCTATCATATACCAGATACTGGTGGTTCTTTGTCGTCATCAGGATGGGACTATTGAGATGATAATAATAACGGCCATGAGTCATCCAGAACCAACGATCTCCCATAATCCTGACAACAACCTCAAGGGATGACTTACGTTACACAATTTTTCTTACCCCATTTTAGACGGTCAGATATCTTGCTTTACTTGCATCATCTCATTTAAATCACCCCTTATCCTAAACGGGGGAGGAGGGACATGTCTTGGATCCTACCACGTAGTAGAGCTAGGGTCAGATAAAGGAAGGTTGATCCCCACGGCCTGTTCTCCTGCCACGCAGGGGTTCAGCCTCTCTCAACCTGTCCCCACTGCCGTTGAGGATACTCTTCGGGGAATGACCCCTGAGCAGGACAGAGGTAGCAGCCAGTAACTCCACTGGTGGCAAACTTTCAACCAGTCCATCTTCACAAGCCTAGCTGGGACCCTGGCAGAGCCAATGAGGACAACTTCCACAGAATAGATATGCCACTCAGGTCCCTCCGGTCCCAAACTGCTGTGATCAATGAAGAGACTAGCAAGGCCCCTGCTGCTCCCCTGTCTCCTTCAAGCAAGAGCTACCATCAGAAGACCACGCTGCACAAACAAATTCACACAAAATAAAAACATGGCATTGACCTCAACAGTCTCACCCAAAATCCATGTGCTGGAGGGAAAATCCTGGAGCCCAGATAAGGAAAGCAGATGACCTGCCCTGGCACCAGAAGGATCATGAGCTCCATTTTAATAGGAAGGGGTAGAGTTAAGAGATATAGGGGCCCATCTGATTCCCATTCCCTTTTAATTATTCCATGTCATGATCCTTTTGCCTTCACTGGAAACAGAACGTCTGTCCCTGGGTTTTGGAATCTGGCCTGTCCAGCGGATGTTCAGGACAGCTTCCCACACAACTGCCTCCCAATCCAGGGTCCCCTTCACTGTATACTCCACCAGGCCGACTGCTGTGGGAGGGAGAGGGAAATACCCCCAAAGGACATAGGTTGTGGGGAGAAAGCAGCCTCTCCTGGTAGATCAGAGCTAGCATTTAAGGCTCTGTCCCAAAGGAATGTGGAGAAGAAGCAGGGGTGAGAAGACGCCTCACCCCGCAGCCTGGACATCTGGTCTCCTGCTGACTCCTTCACTAGGACGGCTGGCTTCTCCCCAAAGACAGGCTGCAGCCAGAGCCAGACCCGACAGTGACCATGCCCACCAACCCCAGCCACCAGGGACAGCTCCTGACACCTGGGCTGGGCCAGGTAGGCCAGCTGCACCTCCTGCCCAGGCAGCCCTGACAACACCTAGGTGCTCACCCTAGAGGGTGCCACCCACAGTGCGGGGACCTGGGAGGTGATGGAAGGAAGAAGCCAGGCCAAGCTTTGCCAAGGTAGGTGGTATCTGATAGTAACAGCTTATGTATATTGCCCACCTACAATATGCCAGGTGCCCACACATATCAAGGCATTTAATTCTATCAGGAAATTGAGGTACGATGTCACCCTGCTGGTCAGCGGCCCGAGGAGAACTCTGAGCTCAGGACTGACTCCAAAGCACCCCTGGGGTGGAGGTGGGCCGCCCTTCCCACTGTCCGCCCCTCCCCCATCTGAAAATTCACGCGGCCGGGATTGAGGATTCTGATTTTCCTTCTTGGCCTCACGTGCATTTGGGGAAGCCCAGACAGACCAGCAGCAAAGCTTTCCGGGCTTTTTGTCCCCACCCGGCCTCCGAACTGCGTCTTGGGAGGATGGCACAGGCTCAAAGCCCAACGTACAAGCTAGAACTTGAGATCCCTGGGGCTTCCCTGGCCTCTCTGCAGAACCCCGGCGCTGGGATACGGGGCCCGCGCCAGCCTCCGCTTCGACCGGGCGGCGGGGGACACTGCACACTAGAGACAGTTGCGGGGTGGTGGCCGGCAGCCTGCACACAGGGGGTGCCCCGGGCGCCCCTGCGGGAGTCCAGCCGCAGACTCCCGGCGAGCGGGCTCAGATCCCGACCCTGGGGCAGGCAGTCGGAGGTGGGAGTTGAGCTCACCCTGCGCCGCCGCCCGGATCACTCCGAATCTGCCGCCGGCTCCTCGCTGAACCCAGTGAGTGGCCCCCACCTCCCCCCACCCCCGGCGCGCGGAGCGCTGCCCCCGGCCGGCTGCCCCCCCGCAGGGCGCTTTCCCGGCCCCTCCAGCAGGGCGCTCCCCCCCCCGCCCGCTAGCGGGGTGCTCCCCGTGCCCCCCAGCAGGGCGCTCCCCCCCCGCCCGCTAGCGGGGTGCTCCCTGTGCTCCCCAGCAGGGAGCTCCCCCCCGCCCGCTAGCGGGGTGCTCCCCGTGCCCCCCAGCAGGGAGCTCCCCCTGCCCCCCCAGCAGGGCGCTCCCCCCCAGCCCGCTAGCGGGGTGCTCCCCGTGCCCCCCAGCAGGGCGCTCCCCCTGCCCCCCCCAGCAGGGTGCTCCCCCGGCCCCGCTGCACCCCCCGGCAGGGCGCTCCCCCGGCCCCGCGGCACCCCCGGCAGGGCGCACCCACCTCCTCCACCGCGCTGCGCAGTTTGTGCTGCGTGTCCTCCATCAGCTCCTCAACCTCGCGGAACATCTCGTTGAGGGTGGCCTCCTCCTGCGGGTAGCTGAGAGCCGGGCCGGCCTCGGCGGGAGCCGCGGGCGCCGTGGGGGCCGGCGCGGGGGCCGTGGGGACCGCCGCCGCCAGCAGCAGGCACAGCAGGGTGCCCCCGAGCCGCCGCATCTCCGCTCTGCGCCCGCCGCCGCCTGCGTCGGGAGCCGGTCAGAGCGCGCCCAGCACCCCGCCGCCCCGCCGCTCTTCCCCGCACCCCCCAGGGCACGAGCCCGAGGCCCCCGCGCCCCCTCCTCCCGCCCGCGCGGAGCTCCTCCCCGGCCCCGGGGGCGGCCCCTCCCCGCAGCAGCAACCGAGCCTAGTCCCCCACGCCCGTGGCGCCCGCTCAGCCCCGCGCGTCCCGGGTTCGAGCCCGGCCCCTGCCCCACCGGGTCGCCCCCCCCCGGCCCCGTGCGCCCCCCCCCCCCAGCGGACCGAGCTGTGCGCGGGCTGGAGCTGCCGGGCCTCGCCGGGGACGCCGCCGCGGGCTGCGCGCACGACTCGGGAGCGGCGCGGAAGGGGAGCGCGGGGATGCGGCGGCGCCGGGGCCCGGAGACCCGCAGCGCGCCCCGCCCGCCCCGCCCGCCCCGCCCGCTCCCTCCCTCGCCATTGGCCGGCGGCCGCCCGCGCCCCGGGCCGCCCCCCCGCGCGCCTCGGCCGCCGCATCCCGCCCGGTGGTCGCCCCGCCGCGGCCAGGACCCCCCCCACCCCGGGCGGCAGGGCCGGGTGGCTGAGAGCCGGCAGCCCCGGGGACCCAGCTCTGCTCCTCGCGACCTTGCCGACCTTCCGGGTCCCGCCAAGGCCCCAGAGCTGCGGGCGCTCCGCGAGCCCGAGGGGGAGATGGAGGCGAGAGCGGGGTGCGGTGGCCCGGGCCTGCGGGCAGGTGCGGCGCGGCCGGCGGGCCTCCTGCTCCCCAGCCGCCTCCCCGCGCCCGGACCAGGGCCACGCGGTTTCCTAGCGATTTTTTTAAGCGTGCGAGTACCCAGAACAGGAAGCGCTCACATATTTTTTTAATAGCCGAGTGTTTTCTTAAACCTCCTGTGTCTCGGTATTGCTGTCTGGCCAGCCCTCCCTCCCTCCCTCCCTCCCTCCCTCCCCCCGTTGGTCTAGCGGACTCCCCCCACCTTTCAAGAACTAGGAGTCTCTCCGGCTCCTCCCCATTTGTCCTGGGGGGGGAGGGGTGCCCGCTGCGCCTTGTGCCCCCTTGCCGCAGACTTGCCATGGGCTTTCTGGACCCTGGCCCATTTCCCCCCAGTGGCCAGGGGGAGCCCTTGGGTGGCAGAGAATGACCTGCTCACCTTCGTGTCACCGTGGCCACAGCCGTAATACACATTGGGCTCCTGAGGAATGGATGAGCTAATCAGTAAAACAAAAACTATTTTTTCAAAGATTTAATTTTATTTATTTATTCATTCATTCATTCATTCATTTATTTATTCATTTATTCATTTATTCATGTATTCATGTATTCATTTATTTATTAAAGAGAGAGAGCAACCCGAATGGGAGGGGGGCGGGCAGAGGGAGAGGGAGAAGCAGGTTCCTTGCTGAGCTGGGAGGTTGAGGTGAGGCTCCATCCCAGGACCCCAGGATCATGACCTGAGCCAAAAGCAGACGCTTAACCGATTGAGCCAGCCAGGCGCCCCAACAATATCAATAGCTATTGCTATTCTGAAGTATTAGCAATACCATTACCGAGTGCCATGTGCCAGGAAGAAGTGTGAACTCATTTAATTCTCAGACAACCTCTGAAGTTGGTACTTCTAGTTTTATCCCCAATTTGCAAATAAGGAATCTTTTCTAAGGCCACATAGCAATTAAATGGTTGAACTGGGATTTGAACCCAGGAATCTGGCTCCAGGGTCTTCATCCTTCTCTGCCAGACTCCTCTGCTCTCAACTGGGAAGTGTTGGGGCTGACTTGGGAGTATTAAATGAACAATTTCAGTGCAGGTACAGGTGACCACTTGGAAAAAATGTGTTTGAGGATGAAGGAATTCAGGACATGCCACCTCAAAAACTGATTATTTTGAGCTGAGGGCACTTGAGAAATAGCAGATGCAGGAAAGGCTCTGAGACTGTTCCTTTCTACCTAAAAATAGGCCATGAAATGCCACAGTGAGAAAGGTGCCTTCCCTGTACCAGCAAGAAAAGAATGTCCTTATCATTAAATAGGTACTGGGACTTGATATCAAAATGGGACCTGATATCAAAATGGATGTGTACAAACAAATTTACTAAAATGACCCTATCGTCTACTAGGTCCCTACCCCCACCCCCATTTGGTCACTTCTCCACAGTTTACCATCCTGAGCCTAAAGCCCTTTGCCTTGTCATTTATTCACAAGTTTATTGTTTATTTGTCTGAAAAGTCTGTAAGCTTTCTGACCTGGTCACTCTCTGGGGTCCTCATTTTCTTGTGAAGGTTCCTATGTATGTGTGAAATTTTAGTAAAATTTATATACCTTCTGTTAATCTGCCTTATGTCAGTTTAATTTTTAGGCGTGGCTGGAGACCCTACAAGGGTAGAGGAGAAATTTTTCTTCCCCTACAGGGCCCATTGCCTCTTTGTCCTGTTCATACACTTGAGTCCATGGGCCTTCTTACCACTGGACACCGCGCACACCCCAACTCCATAGTGAGGGCATGGAGACTCAGAGAAGTTAGGCCATCCTCTCAAAGCCAGACAGCAAGCGAGGGGTCATCTGGAAGGAGACTCAGGTGTGGCTGACTCTAAATGGCCATTGTAAGGTGAGGGGTCCAGGGGCACACAGGGCCCGAGAGCTGGCCAGAGCCGGCCAGATCAATCATCTTTAGGGCAAGAAATGTTCTAAAATTCCACAATTTCCATTATATGTCTGGTCTAAGTTCTATAACAATTAGGGACATTTGTTGTTTTTTTTTTCTTTTTAAGTTCTATAACAATTAGGGACACTATTATTTTAAAATTCTAAGTTTTCACATTTTCTCTATGAAGGGCCTACAGAGTCATACACCAGGGTCCCATTTCATTATTGAGAAGTGAGAGCAGAGCAGTTTTAACCTGCTAAAAATTACCTAGAAAGCCAGCACCCACACAGCAATTTCTTGGCTAGCTGTCTGCCCTTCAGAAATTGTGACCTTGTGCTTCCAAACCATCTATAAAGATGCTTATTGAAGCCACTATTTACAGTAGCAAAAAATGTGAAAACCATTCACTTAGTGGGTTTTCAGCAGAATGGTTAAACTGGGATTTCTACAAATAATAGAATATAGCCATTAACGTAATGAATAATATTTCTAGGCAACCACATGGATAAATCTCAGAAGAAATGATGTGGAGCAGGAAAGGCAATTTGCAAAGTGATATGTACACAGTGCTATTTGTGCATATTTTAAAGACACAAAACGGCAATTTGTATTGTTTATGGATCCTACAAATATAGTTTTAAAAAAAGTGCAGAAATGTGTAGGCTGCCCCTAAGAGGGAAGGCAGAGGGAGAGATGGGGGCGGGCGGTCCTCAGTTGGATGTATAACACTTTATTTCTTTAAGACAGAAAGTGTACCTGCAGGGAAGGGTTCTGAATTAGAAGTGTCCAAATACTGATATCTGTTTAATCATCACGGCTGGTTAGCTACATGTGGGTGTATGGGAGTGTCTGTTGTATTATTTTCAGCATGTTTGAAGTCATTGAATAAACTGAAACCAAAAAAGAAAAAAAAAAAAAGCAATAGGCAAGTCCCCCCACCCCTATCCCATCGCCCAGAATAAAGCAAAATGAAAAACCTCTTAGTGCCAAATAGACTTTTCTTAGATCTGCTCTTAACAGAAATGCTCACCTCCCCAAGGCCCAGCGGTGGCCCCCATTGCTGTGAGGTGAGAAGCAGGAGTGGGAGGGTCCCCACAGGCCTGCAGGGAGGGGCATTTCTCTTCATAAAAGGCCCTTCTGTCTGCTTGAATGGTTATAGCTTTCCTCCTGGGGTGGGTGGAAGGGCCAGAGGCCTGGAGCCAGGCAACGGCTCTAGGCTGTGGATGGGGTTTATCTGTCCCCCTTTGCAAACAAGGAAACCTCAGATATCCAGAACTTAGAGGCGTGCAGTCTGCGTAGATGACTATTATGCACTGATTTTTAAAACTTTAACAATTCAAGGTGCCTGGCTGGTTCAGTGGGTTGGGCGTCTGCCTTCGGCTCAGGTCATGATCTCAGGGTCCTGGGATGGAGCCTCTCCTGTCTCATGGGCTCCCCGCTCAGCAGAGGGTCTGCTTCTCCTCCTCCCCTCACCTCTTGTACTCTCTCTCTCTAAAATAAATAAAATCTTAAAAAAAAACTTTAACAATTCAGAATACACATCTCCCTTTTTTTTTCTCCCTTTCCCTTCCATTTTAGATAGACATTTCTGAACATAATCTGGAAAAAGAATGTCAAGAGGTGGCTCAGAGATAAGGTATCTGTGTGACTGTTAGTATCTGTTTTCCCTCCTGGAATGCAAGTCACGTGAGATTGCACAGGATGACTGTCCCTGCCACCATCTCCTGCTTGGAGCTGAGGTCCGGCCCTCACGGACTCTGTAGTGTAAGCAGAGAACGCCAGGACACATAGGCGGCCCCGTGAACTCGGGTGGGATCCAGTAATCCTCCTGGCTGACCCTCCTCTCCCACCCCTTTGGCTGCGCCAGAGACAGCTTGAGCCCTCAGATTCCACATTAAGTTTGAGGCCCGAGACACCATGCAGCTACTCAAGGACAAAAGCCAACCTGGACAGAGAAATTCAGAGGCAGAGCGATTGAGGGAGAGAGATGTTTAGAAAAAGAGATTTGTGAGCCTGGGAGAGGGGATGAGGAGGAGGAAGGGAGGAGCAGCTTCTTAACTATGTCATTCCAGTTCCTGGTTCTAATCTTTCATGAGTCTGTCGGAGACCCAGCTGCCCCTAGAGTCTGTGAGATATTTTTGGATTCTTCTCATATACTTCCCTTTGTGTTGGAGCTAGGTTTAGGGACTTTCTGTTCCTGGCTACCAAACTGCCTTAAATGTCTGGAGTGGGGCTGCCTTATCTTAACAAGGCAATCCTCTTCAAGGAAGGTTGGAATTGGGCAGCCCAGGTGGCACAGCGGTTCAGTGCTGTCTTCGGCCCAGGGTGTGATCCTGGAGTCTTGGGATCGGGTCCCACATCGGGCTCCCTGCATGGAGCCTGTTTCTCCCTCTACCTGTGTCTCTGCCTCTGTGTGTGTGTGTGTGTGTGTGTGTGATGAATAAATAAATAAAATCTTTAAAGAAAAAAAAAGAAGATTGGAATTGGAGGAGGTTACTACCTCCTTTCTGAGACCCATGAGTTAGAGACAGCAGGCCACCAGGTGCTGCAGGACAGGGAAATGTCAGGGGCATCTTCCCCTTTGCTAGTGGGCCCCTGACCTGCAAGGCCAACCACCAGTTTCATCAAGCCCTCTCAGGTCCTGCCTGTAACTTGTGATTGTTCTGAAGAAATTGGTGCCAAGATTGCTCTGAATGGAAACTCCATCTGGTTTTGGAAAGAGTGTTCATGTGGATTCAGGATTTCCATGAGTAACAGCCACTGAATATCCAAAACATACGTGTAATTTGCCAAGTTTCCGTGGGTGGGTGAACCAAAGAGACCCCGGGGACCATATTCCCAGCCATCACCCGTGAAATTCAGACCAGGAGGATGAGCCCTTGCCTGGTTGTCTTGCTTTGTTGTTTAGCAGGTGGATTCATGTGCGCTGTCTATGCTTGCATGTGGTCTGAAGCAGAGGGTGAATAAGGAGCAGGAGAATCTTGGAGGGGCCAGTACCAAAAGAAGAAAAGCAAAGAACTGATAATATAAGGCGACTGAAGGAGAAACGATATCTAGAAATGTGACTCTACCCAATTCTCTGTGCTGCTTGGGGACAGAATGATGCAGGTGACCT